ATTTATCAATATTGGGCTTAATTATTTGTATTTAGCTTTCCATTTATCAATATTGGGCTTAATTATTTGTATTCAACTATGACGCTTTTAAACGAATGTGACTGACTCTAAAGACGAGACTAGTCGAGGCTTGTTTGCGTGGATGTTTCTCGGACGAGTTTCAGCAATAGATCGAGAGGAAAATGGAGGTATAAGGTGGCGCTTTCTCCTCACTTGAACCCACTGTTGTGCTGCAGTTTTAGATGCTTATTGAGCAAGATCCTTGCTGCGCTCCAGATTAGGGTTCGAAGGCTTTAAAGGTTCTGTCTCGTCACTTTATTTCTGTGTGTTGTCTCTTTCTTTGAAACTGCTCCATTTCCCAGCACCATCAACACTCCCTTTGAAAACACCACCAATTGGAGGGATCCAACACAAGTGTCCCTCCCATCTTTTAAAGTTGCATTATTATTTGTAGATCAAATTTCGGGCTTTGAACTAAATTCTTTTTTCTTTTTAATCAAATAATCAATTAAAAGTGAATGACGAGAACTAAAATGGACTCCTAATACAAAAATATTGTTTGACATCTATCATATACTAGGATATATACTTACCAATAATGACATTGAATTCCATTACCACTTTTGAACAATAGCGTAGGACACCCTCCTAAACTTTAATGAAAGAAGGAGAATAATATAATAATATGCATACTTTGATGGGTGAGTGGTATCAAAAATAGGGAAGTGGTATCAAAAATAGGGAAGTGGTGATCTAGGCACATGGGCGAGGATTGTTATGTCTATGAATTATTTGGCAAAATTTGTTGAAATCAACACCAGAAAATATGTCCATAGAGGGAGGGAGGCAAGTGGGAAGCAAAGAGATGCATATTGGGGTTTGTTTTGAAGGGGTGTTTTTGATGCCTCCCATTTTCGGCCACTGGGGGAAGACACAAATTGCAAGAAGAACAAATTGCAGGAAGAACAAATGAGGAACCAACCAAGCTCCCATTCATTAAGATTATATGGAATATTTTTTAGGTTGGGAACCCATTTTGAGTGGCTATCATCTTTTTAGGGGCATTTCCCATATAATGAAAGGAAGCATTTTTATTTTGTATTTTGCTCAACTTGTGTAACCCATCATTCCCAATAAATATATATATACATCTCACTCGATGTTGGGCATGTGAGACTTTTGTAGTGGGTATACAATTCCATCAAAATCTGCAACAATGGCCTCTTTTTTGGAACTATGATCAAACATGTCCCTTCTTAAACCCTACCCCATGGTTAGGGTTTATCATGTGTATTCTGTGGAAAATAACACTTCCTTAGTGAGTATGTTTATAGCTTAAGTTTGAAATCAAATAAATGTTTATCTTTTTCATTAATATAAGTCATTTCGTAAGTCATGTTGATAGGTAAATTTCCATAAATAAGATGTCATTTGTTATGAAAGTACTCAATAGTATTGTTGTTTTATTGAGAGAAAATGTGACCTACAAAAAAATATATATAAATTATTTCCGTCTAGCTCATTTAGCTAATACAAATAAAAAAATTTTACGCTCTACTTGTCAAAACATAGATTAGGTCTCCATCACCAATCAAGAAACTTTTTTAATAAATAGAATTTTAAATATTAAAAATTACTTAAATTTTTTGAAAATATAAGATAAGGACAAAAAAATTAATAAGAAAAAACACGAGTGTAAAATCCTCAAAGCATACAGCCGAATTATTGGGATTTGTAAAAGCAACCGAAACCACAGCTTGCGGATTAGATCCGAATGTCATCAACTCTGAAACTATAATATTAAAACATTTTTCTTTTAATATATTCTCTTCAATTTGTTTTCATTTCATGTGCTACTATAATTTAATTTTCCCTTATATTCAAATTCTAATAATACAAAATTGTTGGGTTTTTTTTTTAAATAATATTTTTTTAATAGAATTTGAAATTATTATTTGATTTTTGAAGGATATGTCGCTTTTCAATTAAAATTAAAAGTTAAAATTTAATATTGGAAACTCGTAATTTCACAGGATCTGGACATTGGTCTGATGATTAATAAGCTGGTTGGAGGGTCCCCACAGTTTCCTTTTCGCTTTAAAGTTGAATTTCGGATCATCATATGAATTTTGAAACTACACTCAAGATTCAAAGCCAATACCATCCCCATTGCAACTCGTACGCAGTCAACGGCTGTCATCTCTCATACGTTATGGGTCCCACAGGATCACTTTATAGCCAAAAAAACGACTCTGGAATCATAAAATATATACGTTGGATTACAAATTTAGTCTCCACCCTTGTATTTAATTATGAATGAGGTTTTGGTTGCGGGTAGTTGATTAATATGTGTTATTAAAGTGAAAAGAAAGTGGTGTGTGGTTGTGGAAAGGGGGAAGAATTGGATGTTGTGGGTCTTACAAACTAAGACTGTGTTTTTGTGTTGAATTTAAATGTAAATGTTGGATTGAATTTGGAATGGAATTTTAACATAGAATTTGTAAAATTGATCCAATTATGGGTACATTCAAGAATGAAAGTATTTAGAGGAATTTAATAAAAAGCAATCCCATTGATTTGGTGCTAATTCCAAAGTGATTGAATATAATTCAAAATAACCAACTTGGATTCCATAAATATTATTTTCTTTACTAATTTCAGCCGATGATTTGCAATTTGGCCACCCACCAATCTTGACTTTTGATTTTTCCTTTATTTATTTATTATTATTATTATTATTTTGTACATTTAAATATTGGGTTTAAATATTAGTTTGAATTGTGATTAAATAAAGAAGTGGGGAAATTAAAAATAAATAAATAAATAAATAATTGGTTTAAAGTGTAGAGGAATTTGTTGTGAGAGACCCTTAAGACACGGTACCAAATAAATAAACAAAAGAGGAGAAAATAAAATCGCGATTGCACGCGCACGTAAACCCAAGCATTTTTTTCCCTCTGTTAATTATAATCACATAGAAACGTAATCAAATTTAACCATAAGTTGTGGATAATTCTCGTGTTAATTTCTACACCATTTCAATTGGAAAAAAAAGGAACAAATTTTAAAATTAAAGATAAAAATAAAATTTAAACTTTTTTTTATTAATTTTTAAAGTAATGGTAGATGTTTTAATATTTGATTTAATTAATAAAACAAAAATTCTGGTGGGGGGAACAGATGAACACAGGTCGCCATTTGGAGCTTCTTTTGAGCTCTGTGTCTTCATTAATTTCCAAAAATACCAAATTTAATCTGTTCTGTTCTCTGACATGAACATTAATTTCTGTATTTAAATAATGTTTTGTTTTTTCATCCTGCTGGCGGGAAACTTATTATCTGTAATTAATGGAATGATTGAAGTCCGGGCAATGAAGGGGGAAAGTAATAGAGACGGCGTCTAGTAGTTGATGACAGTTAAGCTACCGAATCTGTACGGTGGAGATTCTGTTCTGTCTGAGACGGAAACATCAACTGCGCTCTCAAACATTTCACGGGTTTTCTGTGACGCCTACATCCTCTGCTTTTAAAACCTCCACTCTTTTTTCTTTCTTCTATTTTTTAAACAATAAATTATTTTTACTATATTATATATATCCACAATTAATTGTGTAAGTTTCTATGTTTCTTTTTTAAATTTTAGATTTAAATTGTTTCGTGCTTACTTTCATTTTATATTTTTTAAATATTTTTAGTTGACTTTTGAATTTCGTATTTGTTAATTTGATTTCATAGGTTTTGACCATCTATCTCGTGATTAGGAATAAAATTATAGATCATCTAATCTGTGATCGTGAAGGTATAAATAACTCATATCACTTAGTACATGCAAGAGGTCCAATTGTAGAACAAATACATGTATATATATATATCTAACAATTTAAAAAATTATCCAATTAAAAGTTTTCTTACCTTAATCCAACTAGGGAGGAACAATCTGCTTCATTCCAAATTCCATTTTAGCTAGATACTTAGTCAACTCCTAATACAACCGAAATGAGTTGTATTTAAAGTAAGTTTAGCTTAATCTAATCTTAAAATCAAACCAATAAGGAGAAACAATGGATTGAAAATAAAAAATATTAAATGAAGTCTTGGCTATGGCTACACCAACCATTAGGGGGAAGAAATGGGATTGATATAGATTCAGATCATATTCCTACGATAAATAACCCAAATTTATTCGTGGAGTGGATAAGGAGATGATTACGGCTAAATCATTTCTCATTATTCAACTTAATCATTCTTATGGGTGTTTTCTTTATTAATAAAATCATTCTTAACAGGAAAATATAAATTATCATTCTTAAAATGATTGTGTCTATAACTTTAATTAGTGACAATAATTAAAGGCTACGTTCCCTCAACATTTGACCCTAATTGAAGTTTTGGATTTCACTGCCCAATCCCGTACAAATATAAACATAATATTTTCACCTTTTTTTTTTTATATACTAATAGTAGTAATAATAATATTTATTATATTTTTCTTTCGATCATTTAATCTCCATAGAAAGAGTATATGTATTTGTAACAATTACATGTCAATTATCACTAATATTATTATTATACTAGTGTCTACTCATTAATCAAAGTAATAGGTGGACAGAACTATTAATATCACGTTTAAAAAAATACACACAAATAATCAAAAGTAACGATAATATACTTAATTTTTTTTTATCACGGTACACAGAAACTGTTTATCGACGTCTATAGTTCATCTTACTCTTCTAGTTTCTCTCTCGAGTCTACTTCAGCATGTGTGTCAATCATTGTGAATATTTTTGTTGCTTTTTGTATATACTAATAATTCACTTTCATTTCTCAAAATTTAGAGACAAATACAAAATTGAGTATATTTTTTGATTGGTGGAGGTTTTTTTTACTATTATGGAAAAAAAGAGATGGGAAAATAGAGAAATGGCAGATAAGTTCGATGAAAAGACAAATATTTGAGGTTAGGAGTGTTGAATGATTCGAGTTGTTTGGAATTGGAATTGGAATTGGAGAGTGGAAATCCTCTGTTATCTTCATTTCTCTCTCATAGTTTGAACTGTCTCAAAGTTCCCTGAAACCTTAAACAAAAAGCAAACACTGTCATCAACATTCTCTTTCCCTCTCTTCTTTTGTTGGGTCCCTCTTCTCCTTCTTCTCTTCCTTCAAATCCCAATTATTAAATCCCCCCTCTCCCCTTCTTCTTCACTCCAAAATTCCCAATTCCCCGTTTCTCCCTTTCTCTCTCCAACCATGGCCTCTGCCTCCAACTTCTCCCTCCCTCCCCACTTTTTATCCGACCACCATAACCTCCCCACCGACTTCCCTTATCACTTCAACTCCTCCCCTGTTCATTCCCCCCTCGGATCTGTTCTTGGCGATGACGACAACGACGACGACGCCGACTTTCTTGCCGCGTTGACGCACCGCCTTACTCACACCACTCTTCGTGATTCCATGAAACCTGCTGCTGTCCACAAACCCCAAGTACCCATCTTTTGATTTTTCTTTAATTCACTCGATTTTTGTCTCTTCAATGAGTTTTTCATTTACCGACGACTCTGTTTTTTTTTTTTTTTTTTTCTTCAGGCTAAGACGGCCATGGCTAGTTCTCCTCAGTCTACTCTTAGTGGGTTTGGGAGTTGGTCGGCTTGGAGCTCGGTGTCGAGCGACGGAAGCCCAAACGGGCCGTCTCAGGCGCCGTCTCCTCCGACCACTCCTTTCGGCGGCGATGAAGACACTTGGGATCTTATCTATGCTGCTGCAGGGCAAGTTGCGAGACTCAAAATGAACACTCAAAGAGATGGGATTATTGGTCCTTCTCAAAGTTCTTCAAAGCTTGCTTCTTCCATGAGAAACGCTGGATTTTACTCCCACCCTTCACAGGTGAAGCTAAATTAGCCTCGTTTTTTTCACTCCCTTGTTCTCTGTTTTTTATCTGTAATCGTTTAACTCTGTTTTCTCCTCTGTTTTCAGTTCGGCACAGAGCCTCCGATTAATAAACAGGAAAGCTGTTTAAACTGGGGGAGACAAGTGAAGGTTGAGAATCAACAGATCTATTGCCGAGGGGGAGATTTTCCCCATGAACATGGGAATTTTGTTCGTGCTGTGGATTTTCCTCAATCCGCTTGGCCTTCTCTGCATCCCCATCACCGGAGAAACCCTTCTCAGCCTAGTACTCCCGCTGTATCTGCCGCCTACCACGGCAGCGGATCGGCCCCCAAAAAGGAGTGCACAGGTACTGGCGTCTTCTTGCCTCGCCGATACGACAACAACCCACCACAATCTCGCAAAAGAGCAGGTACTTTTGTTTCTTCTTTTATCAAATTGGAAATCTCGGATTCTCGAATTTGAACTTGATTCTTAACTTTTGCTCTGTTTCTTCAGACTGTGGCTCGATTACTCTGCTTCCAGGGAAGAACGTTCAAGACTTCAACCGATCTGTTCCCCAGATGACGTCAAATCGCCGCCTTCCACCGTGCTACGGTGAGCATGTGGAAACAATTCAAACATCTTGAGATCTGTTAAATAGTAATATGCTAATGAGCTTTTATTATTATTATTATTTTTTTATTTTCTTCAGAAGCTTTAATGGCTCAAAGAAACGCCATTTTCGCACAGCAGAGGCTGAGTTATTCCCGGCCGGCAGAAAGAGGCCAAAGCCATGAGTTTCTTCTTCCTCAGGAGTGGACATACTAAAGCAAACAAAACTACTGGAAGTTGAAAAAAAAAGTGCTTTTTCATTGGGAAGATTGAAGTGTTCTTTCTTTTAGAATAGGGAACAATAAAGATATGAATTAAGGGTTGTAACTTAAAGATGGAAGAAGGATTTGTTTGCAGGTTTGTAGTTACCAGTTAGGTCTCATTAGATGGAGAACAGAGTAAAAATGCAGCGTTCATTCATCAGAAAGGGGGGAAACAGAGAAAAAGAGAGTAATTTATAGGAAAGTGGGGACTTGGGGACAGAGAGATATTGTAATAATTTTTGTGGGTTTCTTAATTGAAACATATAGCTATAGTATGTAGCTATAGAGACCCTTCTAATATAAATAAACTATTTGTTGATTTATGTGTAGAAGCAAGAGCTTCTTATTTGTTGATAAACATTGGTTAGTATTAAAGTTTGAATCGTTAACTTTGTGATTTAATATATGTTCTTTTTTCCTCCAAAAAAATAGACGATCTTATTGGGAGCATGGCCATTCCCATGCCATGCGACCACGCCGACCGTACGTTTCTATGAATAGTTTTATGTTGGAGCAATGGGGCTGTCCTCTGTACTCGACATGAATGGCATCCACTTCAATCTGGATCTTGGATTTTGTTTCAACTTTGTTAGCATAGATCTAAATTAATCAATAACTAACATTCATTATAATAATGGCTTCAGATTATTCAACAAACATCAAATCCACATTATAGAAACAAGACATTATCACATGTTAGCATTATGTTATCTTATCTTCTGCTGCTGCTGCTCTTGATAGAGGCTCCACTCTAACTGGTGCAGCAACTCAACCAAAAGTGTGAAATTCTTGCATTTCATGTTCAAATCCATCTTATCCAACTACAGTCCACTTTTCTTTATGCATAATTCTAGCAGTGATTTGATCAAAAGCTTGTCCAGTCTTGATGCTTCAGAATGAAGATTTAAAGCTTGATGTGAAATTTACTCAACCTGCACTCTATCTTTTCTACTGTTTTCCCAAGTAGGCAAAAGCAAAAGATGTGCAAATTTTATGTGATTTGATAAACGGGTCGTTTAAGTATAAAAGAGAAACTTACTCATATCTTACAGTGTTTGTGTTATGTCTGTTAGTAGAGTGTTCGAAGATATTTAAAGAGAGCAGAGGAGGAAAAATTAGACTGCAATGCCACGGGGAACTCTTCTGATGCTATCTTCATCTGGGTTTGCGCCCATTGTGTTATGACCCTTGCTTACCATCCACTTTGCCACCCTCATCAAGCCAAGGCACTACAATTCATGAAAGTGATATCAATAGGAGAAAGAAAAGGCCCCAAGCTATCAGTTTTCTTGTGGAAGGAAAAAGGGCAACTGTCCAATATTGTATACAGAAAGGATCATAAGTATTCATAAGCCCAAGCTTCACAACTGAAAAGGAAGGACTTGAAGCAATTGACTTTGATCTAACTTTTCTTGTTAATCAGAGAGGATCTTTGCACACGTCAAAACTTGAAGTAACTTGCAAGTTCAACACTGAGGCTTCCAACGCCATAAAGCAATTTGGTGTTCTTGTTCGAGACACATTTTTCTCAAAGACAAGAGCTCACTGCTGTGTTCATCATTCACAATTCTGGAACCAACAACCATCAGTTCTCTGTCCAGAAGATTTCAGAAAAGGTTTAAGACTTGAGGTTTCTTTGTGGGCCTTGAATTATGAACGGAAAAAATAAGACAGTGATTTTGTGGTAATAATTAAAGCCTAAATTGTAGGAATGATTGAAAAATGAAGCAATACAATAGGCTAAGCTAGATATCAGAAAAAGATTCAAGCTGGAAGCATTTTAGGTCTATTTGTGTGGGGTTTGGTTAGGATATTAGGTGAGGAATTTGTTAAGCGATCACCAAGCATCCCGTAGTCATATCATCCTTCAAAATACCTAATTCTAAGTCTACCATCACTACAAACACTTTTCCCGTGCCACCTTTCGCCAGTTATGTCTTATTCCAATAATGAGGTCCAACTCATGCTTGACTAAACAAAACTTTCTTCTCCCAAAGATTAAGACTAATGACTTTGCTCCTACTTTGAAGAATGTAATGGAGGATCATGTGTCCATTAAAGATGGTGGACAAATGTAGGAGACGACCAAAACAGGTTTGCCTAACACATGGCTACTTGGGTTCCATTCCAATTGCATTCTCAATAGAAATGGACAAATGTAGGAGACGACCAAAACAGGTTTGCCTAACACATGGCTACTTGGGTTCCATTCCAATTGCATTCTCAATAGAAAAGAAATTAGAAATTCTTTGAAAATTACATTTGTGCACAATCCTGGGATTTGGTAACATATAGTAAACAAAAAATATGCTAAGCGGGTGGAAATGACCTCTTTATGCGTCTCCTCCAAAGCAATCGAATATCGTTGATCATTCGCTCCAAATCACGGAAGGACGATCCACCTTCTTCCACACTTGTATTAGCCAATTTTGCAGTCTCAATAACAGAACCCATAAATTCATTTCTCCTGTTTTCCATCACATCATTCACCATCTGAGCCACTATCTCTCTGTCGCAAACATCCTTCATGTCCACCCCAATTCTCCAAACCTCGCTCACGTATCGGCTGTTCGTCAGCTGGTCTGCAAATTGAGGCCAACAGATCATTGGCACGCTGCCCACTATTCCCTCTAATGTCGAATTCCACCCACAGTGAGTCAGAAACCCTCCAATGGCTTCATGTCGCAACACTTCCTCTTGCGGAGCCCAACCCACCATACACCCCCTTTCCTTCGTCCCTTCCACCAACTCCGCTGGAATCCCATTTTCCCCATCTTTTCCGCCCACCAAATTGGGCCGCACAACCCACAGAAACCGCCTCCCACTATCCACCAATCCGTGCCAAAACTCCCTAAATTGGCGATCCCCCATGACCGTAACGCTTCCAAAGCTAACGTAGACGACAGATTTCGAAGGCTGAGCGTCGAGCCATGCCAGGCAGCTCCGATCCACCTCCCAATAGCCGTTCGAAGACTCCGGTTCCGGCCGAGTTATTTCACCGGAAAGTCTTGATTTCAGGTGGGCATGAAGAGGTCCGATTGCGTAGACATTTGGGCATCGGCTCCGTAGACGAGATAGAATGGGGCCTTCCAAGTCCTCAAATGTGTTCAATATCAGAGAGTGAGCTTTAGAGCTTTGTATGGTTTGGTTCACGCTGTATTGAAGGATCGGATCCGTGCGGTCCCCCACTCGGCTGAAGCTTGGAAGATCTCTGCATCGGAGAATATTTTCCATTCCAGCCACGCCTACGATCATTCTGTCCATGTCCTCTTCCCCTGCATTTCAATGGAAATCCATTAAGTCGATCAACAGCAAGCATAATGGGAAAATTGGAAAATCGATTGTCGATTGATTACCTTTCACAGGCAGCTGACCATCTTCGATGAGACTGGGAATGGATGAATAAGCCCAAAAAGAACAAGCACTGACAGTACGAAAACAGAAAACGGGGATTTTAGGCTCAGCGTCAACATCAACCATGAAACTGAAAAACCCATCAAGAATTATGCAGGTCGGAATTGGACCCAGTTGACTAGAGACCAGCATCTGTCTGAGAAGGGGCTTGGTTACGGCTTCCATGCTGTGAGTCAATTCAGAGAGTTTGGTCAAGCCGCCGGTGTAGTTAGGGGGAAGGCCGTCGGTGATGGTTTGGAATCGGAATTTGGGAAAGCGAGAGAAACGAGATTGGAGGTTTGTGTGAAGAACGAGGGTTTGGTGGATACGGTGGATGTTGAGGAAGGTGATTCGGAGGCCGGAGAGGGAAAGAAGTTGGGCGAGTTTGAGCATTGGGTTGACATGCCCCAAGGCTGGAAAGGGAAACATCAGAATATGGGGCTCTGCTTCTTCCTGCTCCATGCTTAATTCTGTGTCTGCAGCTTCCTCCGCGACCGGCTTCTCTTTCTGGTTTGCTTGTTTTTTGTGGTGTGTGTGTGAATGTATGCGTTTTTGTTCTTGATAAGAATCTTGACAAGAATCTAGAAGCTTGATTATTGGTTGATAGTTTCTGTCCAATACTCGGTTCTTTCTTCAAAGTAAAACCCTGGTTCTTTCTTCAAAGTAAAACCCTGGTTCTTTCTTGTCAAGACCCGATTTTCAAGGCTTCGAAAATCAGACCGTGAACTAAAAGACGAAATCGAAAATAAACAAAAAGAAAATAGAAGAAGAGAAAAGTAAAAAGATAAAAACTCCATTTGGTTAAAACAAGAGAGAGAAGATTAGTTTCGAAATTATTACAAAGAAAATTACAAATGTAAAATGAAACACAAAAGACTCGAAAAGACCGACAAGGGACTGACGCTCCGGAACGACCCCCTCTGTGACCGCACAGCTCTCGAACGCTCCTCCACCTCGACCGGCACCTAAAAAAAAA